AGACTGATGCATGAAGCAAACTCTGGAACAGACAGGCTCAAGCCCAGGACTCATTCACTGCTATTTCCATCCTGCTGGGCTGCCCACCCTCCCTGCCCAGCTGTCCACTGTCCAGCCATCTGTCTCCATGTCTGAGTAGACTGCAAACCTGGAGTGTTCTGGATCCCAACACAGGGTCTGAGTGTTCTCTGCTTGGGATGTGCTGATCATTGATGACTACTACATCCTGTTCTATTGGTAGGAGCTGGAGGTGTGGCACGGCAGTGACCCAAGGGCAGGGAGATGGAAAGACACTGGAGGCGCCCAGCTTGTGGAGGGACTCTGGCTAGTTCCCCATCTTTCATGTGAGTCTGACTTAGGGAATGGACTATTCGCTTATTCAACTAGTGTTTACTAAACACCTACTGTGGGAAGGTCACAGTGGACTGGTAATGAATTCCAGGCTCTCATGGCATGAAAGGGGAGTGCAGGCAAGCAAATGACAGCAGTAACACAGGTGGCACCTTTGGTGGGAGAAGTGCAGGCTGCACTGGGGGTGCTGTGGTGGTGCTGATCAGACCCCTAATGAGGCAGAAGGGCCAGGGAAAGATGCAGGAAGGATTTCTACGAGGAGCTATGAAGGAGTGGGGTCAGCAGCTATGGAATGGGAGAGCAGCGGGCTGGGTATTGCAGGCAGATAGAGGGCATGTGAAGGGGCCTGGAGTTACGAGAATGCATTCAAGGAACTGAAAGAAATTCAGTCTGACGAGAGAGGTGTGAAAAGGGAGTAAGGCATGGGACAGGGTCAGGGCCATTTACCCAGATGCTCACTTGGGATTTCTTCATGTTTCCCTTCCCTTCCCTCGCCCCCCTCCCCTCCCCTCTCTTCCCCTTCCCTTCCCTTCTTTCCTGAGAGGTTAGACAGACGTCAATCCTTACAAGAGCCCTAGGAGGAACATCCTATCATTACTTGTGTTTTTTAGATGAGAAAATGGAGATTCAGAGAAGTGAAGCGCCCTGCCCCAGGTCACACAGCTAATGATGGCTGAACATCACCCCCTCCACCCCCACCCTGCCCACCTTCCTAAGCTCTACTCTCTTCTGGCTTTTAGCCTTTGTTGGAAACAATGCTCTGAAAATAGGAAGCAAGTTTACATTAAGTCAACAGATTGTAGCAGGTGCTATGTATATGTTCTTTAAAAAAATCTTCAACACAAACTTAAGGGGCAGTACCCCCAGTTTACAGATGAGGAAACCAGGGTGCAGTGAGTCTGCTAGGCTCACACACTGGGTTAGTGCAGGAGCCACAGAGACACCCAGTGCTTGTTCCCCTGCCCAGCGCCTGAAGGAGCTCACTATAAGTCATTAGCTTTGTGTGTCCTTCTCAGGAACAGAGATTCCAGAAGGCCCACTCTGGACTATGACCTCAGGTTTCTACACCTGAGCAGCAGCCCAGGGAGCTCTCCTTGGGAGACTGGCTTGGGTGGTGAGCATGTATACGTGGCAGCTATGTTCCATTACTGGAGTGGCCAACGTACTCCCTGGTCAAGGATGCAGTGGCTCTAGTCCCAGGCGACTGGCTGAGCTAGGGCCAGTCATGTCCTTTAATTTCAGTCTCAGTAGCTTCAGATGAAAATCAAAGGGATTGAGTTGAATGACGTTTACATCATTACATCACTGTAACTCTAAGGAAGGGTCCTTCCTTAAGGACCAATTCCAGGGCTGTCAAGGTGGATGAGGTGGATGGTGAGAGTGGCTGGGTGCCAGCAGAGGGCGCTGCCAGCATCAGGGAAACAAGGCCTTGGTCCATAGAGCCTGGGCAAAGACTGTACAACCTTCAAGACTGGAGGGTGGATCCTGCTCCCACTTCCCCCCTCTCCCCAGTTACGGATGGTGGCCCTGTTCAATGGACAGTTCTTCCTGTGCGGTGGACAGAAGCCCCAGCAGAGATCAACTGAAGAGCAGGAATTCAGTTTTCAAAGGTCATCCGTTCTCTAAGTCTGAAAGCACATCATTTTCCTTTTTTCTGGCCCTTCCCCACCCCTGCAAGGTACACAGTTTAATTTACAAGGAGAAAACAGGCAATCACAATCGTGAAGGTGTGATCACACCTCAATGGGGGCGGGGGGGTGGTGTCTGGTATTTCCGTTTAGTTAGAAGCTGTCTCCTACCTATAATGCCTTGGAACATACTCTTCCGTTCACTGGAAAGGCCCCATTTTCTCCTTTCTGCTTGGAAAAGTCTTATTTTCCATCTAAGATCCTGTTTGAATGTCACCTCCTTAGCAGAAACCTCCCTGACTCTCCTAGGAAGTCCTGGCTATCCCTCCTCAGTTCTCACCCCTCTGTTTGGCAATTATCGACTGAAGCCGGCATCCTCACCCCACACTGAGCCACCGGCACACAAACCTGTGGTTTTCTATCACCACAGGCTCCTTTTATTGAGGGCTTACTGTGTGCTGAATACTGTCCAAAAGCTTAAATGCATTACATCATACATCTCTCACTGTAACTCTATGAGCTAAACACAGTTATCATCTCCCTCCTACACATGTGGAGATTAGGACTCAGACAGAATGAGTCATTGTTCAAGGTCATATACAGTTGGTAAGTGGCAGAACTAGGTTTCAGTTTGCCTCAAACCCAGGCCCAGGCTTTATTTAAACCACTAGCTTTAGAGTCTTGGAAACAGACTTCCCTGTTTTCCCATGCTTAGTACTCTGGCACCAGGCATAAATTCGAGGTAAAAATAAATGAAAAGTAGGTTAGGGTTTGAGCATGTATAATGGCTCCTTAAAAACACCACAAAGTACAGGCTTTGGAATTGGGTTGCCCGAGTGGTTTCTCCATAGACTGCCTGACCGCCTGAATTCAGATTTAATGAATATCAGCTGCTGACCTACTAGGTGCCATGGGCTTTCCTGCTCCTCATTTCATTGACCCTATGACAACCTTGTGAAGATGTCACGAGCACACTTGGTACAGGAGCTTACAGGCACTCAGAGCAGCTCGAGCCTGGCATGTGAGCGGGAAAGTGGTCACTCTGGTCCTGCTCAGGGGGCCAGTGGAGAAGACAGGACGGAGCCCGGGATGGCTGATGCTCTCACTGCCGTGGCCAGTGACCAGCTGGCAGCCGGGGCTGGTGGTCATCAGAGGTCCTCAGTCCTAGGTAGAATCTTTCACCTAAGACAGGCAACCATTCTGAGGGTGCACACCTTCAGGCAGCCATGGTCCTCTGGACAAAGACTGAACTTGGATGCAGAGGACCTGGCTGAAATGCTGCACTCTGCCACCTTCTCCCCGCGAGGCCCTGGGTCAGAGTCCAGAGCTTTCTGAGGTTCTGTTTCTCCCTCTGGGACAAAAAAATCAGCTGCCATAAGGCTGTGGTAAAGACGGAGGAAGTGACTGAAGTACAGAAAGTGCTAGGTGACCTGAGGCAGACAAGCTCCTTGTTACTGGTGCTGACCTGGCTCAAAGCTTCACTTCCCGGGTCCCTCTAAGTCAACCCAGCACCGGAGAGGCTCCTGCTCTTTGTACCAGGCAGTGCCATTAACTACAAAGCTCTGTTTCCTATTTCCTCGGGCTCTGCCAGGTGTTTCTGGAGCTAATGAGAGCAGTGTAGGGAAGCAGGTGGAGGATGAGGGGGCCTCCTCTGCAGAACTGACTCCTCTCCCCTCTGGAGAGCCCCAGGCTGTTTCTAGGTCCCTGGAGTCAGACACGGTATCCTTGGGAAGGGTGGGCCAGAGAACTGGAAACCTACGTTTGTAGGATTCCCCAAACCCTTTCTGCCAAGAAAATTGCAACTCCTAGTCATGCCTCTTCTTAAGAGCATCTCAGCCTTTCTCTCTCCCATTTTCCTTGTTCCTAGACAGCCTTCCTGTTCCTCCCCTCCAAGCTGTGGCCTCCTGCCCTTTCAAGGCCTCCCTGGGCTCATGCCTCCTTTGGGCCCCTCTCCCCACAGGGAGTCAAGGGCATGCTGACCTCTCTTCTGGCTGAATGCTTCCCCAGCATCTTGATTTCTGACTTGGAACCTGGCCACGGACCACGCCCTACTCTTGCTCCCTTGCTCTCCCGTCCATGTCCTTGGCTTCTGTGAGCTGCCCGGGCTGAGAAGGGCAAGAGACACGTCTCCCTCTAGATACTCCATGACAGACAGCGAGTGCAGAGGAGGGATGGATGACAGGACAATGTGTATCCAGCTCCTTTCTGGACACCCAAGTTTGGAAGGAAAATACAGAGGAGAGACTAAGGTAGGGGAAAGAGAAGCAGAAAGACGTTGAAGAGAAGAGGAGGAGGGAAGGGGGCAGCTGTGTGAGACTCAGGATGAGGGTCACAAGTGGACTGATCAGGTTGTCTTGGAAGCTTTAAGGCTTTTTATGGATTACTCCTGACTATGTCACTCAACAGAGTTCTTTTGAAAACCCTTGGAACTTGCCTCTTCCAGGCAGCCTTTCCTGATTTACTGTGATCTCTTCCCAGGGTCTCCTTGACTCTCTGACTACTCTGCACTTATAGATCACATTCCTCATAATGCCAGGACTTTGGGGAAGGGCTGGAGGTCTCTGCCTCACTGGGAGTGAGATTCACTCCACATTTTGCATCTGTTGTCAGAGATTACACTGTCATTTTGGATCACCTTCTTTTATCAGTTTCAGAGGATGGTTTGGGATGTATTTTGCAGTTTTTAAAAATCCAGTTTATCTCCAAGACAACCTTGAGGCAAGGCCTACTATAATCTTACATCCCTTTCTTTCCTATCCTCGTGCATCTGGGGAATACACGGATGGCTAAGGCAGTGCTCCTGCCTTCAATCAGCTTCCAGTCTGTGAGCACAGACAGAAATGAGCTGAATGCCACCTGGGGTTGGCTCACAGGACTGCCCAGATGGGCGTAGCATGGTGAGGTGAAGCCTGAGCATCTCAAGGACAAGCCAGAGCTCAGCTGGCAAGGAGGGCAGAGGACTCGGCAGGGGCAAGGCTCAGAAAGTTGGAAGGTCCAGGTGTGCAGGAAGGAGGAGGGCACCTCAGGGTGGCTGGAGAGCAGGCCCAGGAGCTGACTCAGGTCTCCTGCAGGACTTTGTGCATCAGGCTAAGATGTGCTGACTTGAACTCACTGGCCATGGCTTCTCAAGGGCCCCAGGGCCCAGGGATGGACATTCTGGCTGCATTTAGAAAACTGTGTGCCAGGGACCTGGGGATGCAAGAGAACAACGGCTCTCAAAAAGGATGCCACCAAAGGCCTCATCCTGTAGGACTCCACTTATCAAAACTCATCTACAGTGACAGGAAAAATAGCAACCCTCTGAGGTGGGTACTGACTGGAAAGGAGAAAGAGAAAATCCTGGTGATGGTGAAAACTCACTGAACTGAACACTCACAGCTTGTACAAGTCCCTGTTTGTAAAATACACTTTGAAATGTGTGTGAGGGTTCTTGGTTATCACGATGGTTGAGGGGGCGCTGGTGGCAAATTATGAGGGGATGGGGCTCGGGATGCTTCCACAATAAAGAACTCTCCCATCAGAGGACAAGAGGGTCACTGTTGCAAAACACTACTGCAGGCTGCAGGGAGTTCCAGGGAGTTTAAAGAGCAGAAAGAAATGGCTGCACTGGGGTTAGGATAGGGCAGGGCTATGGCACTGATGGGAACCTACAAGTTGCAGGCATCTTGGGCAGCAAAGTCACACAGAAGGTGTACATATGACCTTCACTGCTGCCTCTGGGCTTGTATTTGGGCAACTCCAGAATGCTGGCCCACAGCTGCCCAGGCCCAGGAGGGGCCCTGGGATGTCCCTGTAAGGGGTTGGGAGCAGGCCTACAAGGGTAGTCAAGAGGCAGCAGCTGTGAGAGGGAACAGGAAACACCCACCTGACTTCCCTGCCTCACCACAAGCATCAGAGGATGAATAATCCTCATCCTCTGAACTGGGGTCTCCCTGAGGCAGGGAGCTTGGGGAGACTAGAGGGCTGGATGCTGCTACTGCTGCTACAGAAAACCATTTTCTGGAATCAGGGCCCACAGCAAAAACCCAGTAAACTGACACCATAGTGCTTGCGCGACCCCTTCCTCCAGGAAGACTTCATGAGCTCCATGCTGGGCAGAGGCCTTGGGCCTTCTTACAGCCTCAGCTCAGCACCACAGCACAGTTACTGCCTGGGTCTGAACTCTGCTACATACTTGCTGTGGGCTCTTGATGTGTTACTCAAGCTCTCTGAGTCTGCTTCCTCACCAGGAAACTGAGCATAATAAAGACATCTGTATGGGACCTCCCTGGTGGTGCAAGGGGTTAAGTCTCAGCACTATGATGCAATCCACAGCCACTGCAGCACGAATTCAATCCCCAGCCAGGGAGCTGACCCACATGGTGCAGCAGACCTCTTCTGTCTCACCTGCTGCTCCCCTCAGCAGTGTATTTCAGTAGATCTACCTGTTCTGTTCCCCACTCGGTCTCTGCTGAATCCTCTCACCCTCCCCACACCTCTGGCCTTGTACACACTCCAGCTCTTGTATGCATAAATTAATAAACTTTTTTTTTAAAAGACCCCTGTATGGACCTGTGATGAAGACTGGGTGAGAGCTTATAAGTTAGCTTATTATCATGGTAGTGTGTACCTGCAGCCAACAGACATAAGCCCCTTGTGGGCAGGCGCAGGGGTTGTGCTGATTTCCTGCATAGTACACACTTGCAGCATGAATGAATTCTATCCATTAAGGTCTCTTTCAAGAGTTTCTTTTTTCAGCCCATGCTGCCTCTAAATCACAGTCACTTTTCAGAAATGGAGGCTGGATTCACTTGTATTCTGTTCCTCCAAGGCCAAGCAGAATCTATACAAAATTCACTTAAAAAATTAATAGTTTTTTCCTGGACCCTCCAGTCCTAAGACTTTGTTCAGAGGCCTTTGTCATGCTGAGTACACAAAATACCATAAAAAAAGTTAAGTAAACACAATTACCATATGTGCTGGCAATTCCACTTCTAGGTATATACCCCAAATAATTGAAAGCAAGAGCTCAGATACTTTTATATCAATGTCCATAGCAGCATTATTCACAATAATCAAAAGAGGGAAGTAACCCAATTTTCCACTGGTGGATGAGTGGATAAACAAAATGTGGCATGTACATGCATGGAATACTATTCAGCTTCAAAAAGGAAGGACATTCTGACACACACTTGACACATGCTAGATCATGCTAAGGATAAACCTTGAGAACATTACATGCAGTGAAATAAGTCAGACACAAAAGGGAAAATACTTAGAATGACTGAATTGATGAAGACGGAAAGTAGAATAGAAGTGGTCAGAGGCTGGTGGGGACAGGGGACAGAGGAATTATTATTCAGTTCTGCAAAGTGGAAAGAATTCTGTGGATGATGGCTGTACAAGAGTGATTTAAATACAAAAGTACTTAATGCTACTAAACTGTGCCCTTAAAATAGTACATTGTATGAATTTCATCACTTTTTTTTTTTTTAAAAAAAAAAGCACCCAACCAAATGCACAAAAATGCTGGAAGGACTCTATCTGAAATCTGACAGAGTTGGGTGCCTCTCTGTCATACCCCCTGTGACTTTGGGCTCCTGGTTCAACTATTAAAAAACACATCCAGAAAGAATAGGACAAGTATAATCCTGGTTCTCTTATATTTGTTAATGTACAGGTGCATTATTTTTACAATGTATGGTTGTATTATTTTCACAATGGAATTTATTTTTTGAAGGCTGGTGACCTTCTTAGGCAGATGATGAAATGCATAATCTCTGGAGGTGTCTCCAGACACCCACATGCCACTCACCAGTGAAGCCCACAAATTCCTCCTGAGATGCTGCCAGAGGGTTGAGGGAAGGGGAGAAGACAAGATGATGTTAGGGATGTATCTCTAATGGCTTCAACCAGTCACCTTGCTATGAAAAGGAAGGGTAATTCAGGGTCTTCTGCCATCACAGAAACCAGGAGATTTGGCCATGGGCAGTTCATCCTCAAGTTAGGAATTCTCACCAAGATGCTCACTCCCTGATCTAGCTCAAGGGATCCCTTTGCAACCTGACCCCGCACTGCAGGTATGGAGACTTGAGAGAAAGATGCTTCAAGAGCACAGGAAGGAGGGTCATTTTTGCTTCATGTGCTGCAGCTCAAGAGGGCAAAGCTTTCTTCCTTACAAGAGTCGGGGAATGTCCAAGTGTTGCTAGACACTGGTGCCAACGTGCTCTTTCCACATCTCATCAGACGCAGAGAAGATGGAGATGATGTGGCCAATTGGGGGAAAATCTTACTTTCCATGATGCCATAGTTTAAGGCAAGGAAGAGATTTTTTGGTGGTGGCACTGCTTAAAAGCTAAAAGAGTTTTAGTTATTTGTTTTCTTAGGTTGACCTGAGTTTCCAGTTTCTAGAGGTGAGAAGACAAGCAGAAACAGATGGAATTTGGACCATGATGAGCCCCTGATTCTAGCACATCACCTTTCTCCCTCACAAGGTCCAGCCTAATATCTGGCTCTGTCTGCTGACCCATCCCACCCACCAAATCATCTTAGTGTCGCAGGGAGCCACACCCCAGTGTGTGACAATGATCACCGTCCTCCAGGAAGATAATGTTCATGGACCTACCAATATCAGAGTCACGGAGATGAAGCCTGGAGAGATGCTAGAAACCCAAACCCTACCTCCCAGAGCTGAGAGAGGAAAAGCATCTTGCTCCAGGTCACTTAATCACGAGGAAGCTTAGATCTGAACACTGGTAATTCCACCCAGACAGCTGTGCTGGTAAGAACACTGGCTCATCTATATTTCCTGGTGAGTTGGTTCAAGTCTTGGTAAAGGGTGCCATATATTTTGAAAGGTTTGCACATCCCCTGTGTCCCACTTAATGCAAACAAAAGCTTTAAATGATTAAGCCACCTTCTGGAGTTTATCCATCCCCACTTGCAGATCCATTTAAACAATTAATAGGGTGCTTGAAGAATTTATACTTCTATAAATAATTTCTCCCTCCCTACTACCCTCTCTGCCTTTTTGGAAATCTGTCAGTTTATGGAGAAGATGATCATTCCTTGTGCTGCAAATAAAGGCTTTTGTGCTAGAGATGAGCTTCTTTGAAATTTCAACCAGGAAAATGGCTGAGGGCACAAGGGAATCCCTGAAATGAAGCCAGAAGGCTGAGCATTTTATGCTGGAAGGGAGAAGAGGGAAGACCAGAAATGTAACCCATTTTAATTGTCTTACAGTCATTTCAGGTATGTTTTAGTATTTAGTCTTAGTCAATAGTCAATAGTGTTATAATATCAAGCCATAGTGAATAAAATATGCAGATTTGACTCAAATATTCATACTCGAATGACAACACAGACATTCAAATCATCTGAGCTTTATCATTTCGATCATACTACAGCCTACTATGCCCTGACTATGCCATAATATCCTTACTGATAGGTTCATATAAGCCCAAGGTAGGAAGTTTTGTACATAAACGATTGTTTTCTACATTCATTTAAGAACTATTTAGTGGGCCACTGCCGGATGTCAGCCTTGGTTTCCTAAACACAAAGAACACAAGCCTAGGATTCAGGTTTGCTTGGCCTCAACAGGGTGTGACTTGTTATTCCTCAGGCCTGTGAGCATCCACATGATCTGGCTCTAGTCCTCCCTCCTACTATTTTCCTTACCATTCTTCCTTGCCTAATTTTTACAGCCACACTTGCTGTTCCCCGAAAACACCAAGCTTATCCCAGGGCCTTTGCACTTGTGGTCTCTTTCCTAAAATGGTATCCCCCAGGCCTCCTCACTTCATTCAAGTCTTTATTCAAATGCCATTTCTTCAACGAAAATTCTTTTAAAGGAAAAGCTCTTCTGCCACTCTTCCCTGCAGACACTCCTTACCCTGCTTCATTTTTCTCCAGAAAATGGCTCACCCCCTGACATGTTACATCTTTGCTTTTATGTTCTTTCCTGTGTCCCCTGGTAGAGCTTGGGTAAGTCTGTCTTTTACAGAAATGTATTCCACAGCCTAGAACAACCCTGTATGTTAACAGATACTTATATGTAATTGGAGAATGAATGGATGATGGATGGATGGATGG